TGTTTTTTGGAAAACCAACGCGGCCACACTGTTTCCAGATCTGCCACCAAAGCTGAATTTTGGCGTGGGCAGTTCTTCACACAGTTCAAATCCTGTTGGACAAAATAAAGACTTCTATTAGGGAGTGCATCCCACAGCTAAGAGAAGTTTGCATTAACACTGTACTTTCAAACCCTTTACAAAATCATAATTCCAAACTCCAAATTGCAACCGAATTTCATTTTATGATTTTTTAACTATGCTGAGTATAGCATACATGCATATACCAAAACCCTCTGAAAGTGAACAAGGTACAAACAAAACCAAAAACAGACTGCAGAGAAGCAGCCCTCCATCCAGCCCCCACCTCATGCACTTCCTGTTTATTATCCCTTCAACTTAAGCATCTCCTTTCACCTACCTCGGCTGCCCAGCTATAGAAGCAGCTATCTGCTCTGAGCCCTCAGCAAGGACTAGGCGTTGTACATAGTAACTCAATCCACATCACACATGAGAACACTTAATACAGACAAGCTAAGTAACTTGGAAATAAAAATGAATTTGGAAACAAAGGCCAAGATATAAAATGAGTAAACTTTCACTCAAGCCACAATTAAAAAAAAAAAAGACATAAAGCAAGCTAAGGTGAAGGAGATGGGACAACAAGGAACTGATAACTTTCAAAGCAGCAAAGTGTAGTTTTTAAAAAAATTAACTTAGAATCAAGAATCCTGGAAATAATGTCCCAGCTCTATCAGTTACTAGGTGAGAGATACCTGAGGCAAGTTACCTTAATCAGGACCTTCAAGTTTCTTTGCAAACATGTAACAGTGCCCCTAAACAGCCCACACTGATTTTGTAAAGACCAAAATCCGATGATGTAAAATTTTCCTAAACTATCAATAAATAAGACTGTTTTTTGAAACAAGTAAGGCTGGAAGGTCACTCATTAAAATGTTAATTTAACCATGGATTTTTTTCCCTTAGTGACCGATTATTAGTCTGGGGAGATTTTTTTTCTGGGGGGATAAGGGGGTCCTGTAATTTCTACGTTTCAATACCATGAGCTCCAATACGTCTTGTGAACAGAAAAAAAAAATGGTAAAAAGTACATACATATTACTGTATCAACTTGTCTTTTATACTTTGTTTCATTACAGTCTAATATTCTTAATCAAATCTAAACAACCAAATATTAAAATTCTAATTAAAAACTGATTTGTTAGAAGGCCTTCTAAACAGAATGATACATGTAGACACTGGACAATGGGACCCCTGTGGTAGGTCCACAGACACCCACTCCTATTCGTCCTGCGTGCTTTCACATATGCCGGAAATATTTCATAATAAAAATTTTCAAGAGAAAATGGAGCTATTTGTGTGAAACTTCCAGAACTAATCAATTTTTTAACTCTGTGGGCCAACCCTATAGAATGAGGTTATTGCATCTTGATGGATAACACTCCAAAATAGTAACAGTGCTTGTCAGCCAGCAACAGATAATGATTTTAGTAACTTTAATCTACATATTTCTGCTTGGAGTGACTGACAGTTTTCTATTTTTGTCATAATGAATCTTTACTTTTGTAGTAAGTTTTGGTTTTTTTATTACAGTCGTTGTAATAAAGTCAAGTCCTTTGCACATCAAATGAGAACACCGTACTGTCCGGCATCTGATTTAAGTCATGGGTACCAAAACATATGGCAAGGCCAAGTGTTTCTGTAAATACAGCTATAGAGAGAAAAGGCAAGGTCTATTTCAACAACTGTATGTATTATTTATGTTTCACCTAGGGAAAGACGCAAAGAACTTGAAAAGATGGTGAACCAGGTGAAAGGAAACACAGACGCCACCCCGACCAAAGAAGCGAATGACAAGACTGCAGCAGCGAAGCGTGGTCTTGTGTGCTGTCCCATGTCTACTTCCAGACACCATTTTCTAAGAGATCAAACATGTTTGCAGTGGAATACAATTACTTCTTTCACATTTCCCAGTAACATTTGACCTCTATTCTGTAGTACACTCTAAAACTGAACCTAAGTTACACTTTTACTCAATAGTTCTCAGACACTGACACGTTTTTTAGCACTCTATACCAGGCTAAAGGGGCTCTGGTGGTACAGAGGTTAAAGCACTCAGCCGCTAGCCAAAAGGTTGGCAGTTCAACTCCACCACTCTGCTTCCATAAAGATTTACAGCCTTGGAAACCCTCTGGCACAGTTCTCTGTCCCACAGGGCTGCTATGAGTAGGAACCCATCTTTAGGGCAGTGCATTTGGTTTGGGTGTACTAGACTCAAGTCTGTTCCTCATTATCAAAGCAAGACAAACATGTTTTTGTCTGGTGGCTCCAGGGGTAAAAGAGAACACCTGTATTTAAACACTAGGAAAGGCACTTGCCCTACACAGGGTAAGTTGGAGCATTTATTAAAACTGTCAGCTTCAGGATGAAGGAAAGACGACTATATGTGGCCTCAACAGTTCTAGAGGAAACAAATTTAACATGGAAGATAGTAAAATTAATGGCATGAAATAAAAGATAATAAGTCACATATAATTCAGGTTTTCCAGAGGCAATGGTAACAAAGCCACGAGCTCACATTTCAGGTCTTCGACACGTCAAGTTTTACGTTATATAACCCACCAAAGCTGCTGACTTCTCACAACAGGACATGTGGTAAGCATTCTCCCTCCTACTGCCTGTTCCCTTATTACCAGAAAGAAAACTCACTTTAGACAAGGAGCACGCAGTAAATAACAGTACACCAGAAAGAGCAATACACAGTACACAGCTCTCTAGAGGTAATTCACTTCCCATTAGTGGACGGCAAGGGAGCTTCAAATTTTCACAAGATAGTCAGTACCATGTTATAGATTTCATACTCAGTCCTAAAAATTCCCCCTATTCTTAAAAATATTTAATAAAAAATGTTGATGATTGTACAGCATGGTAAACATAATTAACATTACTGCTGTCATGGAATTGTACAGCATAAAAAAATGTTTGAAATGGCAAAGGTTTTCTATATATTTACATATTTATATATAGTTCACCACAATAAAATTATTTAAATGGTACCATTAAAAAGAAAAATGACTAACAATCTGAAAGGGATTCAAAGGAAAAAAGCAGCAACACCACATTAGAGATATTCCCAGAAAAGTCTATGTAGGAATGAATAAACTGGCCAATAACACATTCTTTAAACATGCAAGGCACAATCTTCCAAAGAACTCAAAATATTTTGTATATGGATTCTAGATTCTCAATTCTCCCAATACTCCCACTTAGTAGACGTAACACTAACTACATTTCGCTAACAGGCCAAAAAAAAAAAAGCTCCTGCCTCAGTACCAAAAATCTTGAAAAGGCAGAGCAGCTTTCCTCGGGGATTCACAGGGGGTGCCTTCTCCAGGCAGTCCTCAACCCACCACGGAGCTCCATTCCACTGACCGACCACTCTATCCCAAGCTAGTTTGATGTAAGCTGAATACCTTTTTGTTTTAAGTCTTCAATACTATTGTTTTTTATTATCAGTATCTTTATCAATCTAATCTTTGTCTTTGGGAGTTGAACACATTGTATCTGAGAATGGTAACGTTAGGAAATTACATGCTGAAAGACTGTATGTAGTACATATTACTAACAATAAGACATACAAAAAAAAAAGACAGCTCATCTTAAGTGTAGTTTATCCTAACTCAAATAATCATAAATCTGGGACTACCCACACCATCAATTCCCTACGTGTTTCTATGCAATGTTAAAAATGATTGCTCTCAGTGTACTGAAATGGGCTCTGGTGGGGCAATGGGTACAGCATTCAGCTGCTAACCAAAAGGTTGGCAGTTAGAACCTGGCAGCGGCCCTGCAGAACAAAGATGAGACAGTTGGCCTCAGTAAAAATTTAAACCCGTGAAACAGGTTAACTATGGGGAGGAAGTGGGAGGAGAGCTGTTGCATTGTAGGAAATTGCAGTCAATGTCATGAGACAAAGTGTATGTGAGCTGCTATATGGAAAGTGAATTTGCTCTGTAAACTTTCACCCAAATCATAAAACAAATTAAAAAAAAAAAAAAATTTAAACCCTTGGAAACCCTATGGGGATCTCTATGAGTCAGAATCTACTCAAAGGCAGTGAAAACAACAAGACAAATCCTAAATACCTAAATGAAATAAGACATAAAAACTTTCTATAAAATCAAAATTCTCCTTATGGAAGCCTTTAAAAAAAATACTTTCATTTGCATTATTGCAGATTTGCCAGTGATTAGCACATGAAGTCAGAGCATGATACATGTGCCTTTTTCCTTTGATTCTCTAAACAATAGGTTATAAATAAGGAGCTCTGGTGGCACAATGGTTAAAGCAATTGGCTGCTAACCAAAAGGTCAGCACTTTGAACCCACCAGCCAATGTGTGGGAGAAAGGTGAGGCAGTCTGCTTCCCTAGATTTACAGCCTCGGATGCTCTACAACGCAGTTCTGCTCTCTCCTATACGCTTGTTATGAGTCAGAATCAACTCGATGTTAAATAAGGAGCCCCAGTGGCACCCTGGTTAAGCACTCAGCTGCTAACCACAAGGTTGGCAGTTCAAACTCCAAGCAGCTCTGTGGGAGAAAGCTGAAGCAGTCTTCTTCCATAAAGATTACAGCCTTGGAAATCCTATGAGGCAGTTAAACTCTGTCCTACAGGGTCGCTATGAGCTAGAATTGACTTGACAGCAACGGGTTTGGGTTTTATAGCTTAAATAAAGAACATAATTTTTGCAGGCTCATAAATTTTAGTACTTACTGCAAGGACTTCTTGGAAAAACGTTAAAAGGAACCTGGATCTCAACCAATGTTATTCTTTTGTGCTCTGTATACAGTTAAACGTACTACCAAAGTCATTCACCGAGAAGAAAAGCAAGCAATTCCCACAAATAGAAACGTGAACCACATCTCAAAGAAAAGAAAACAACTATTCAACTGCATTAAGCATAAGGGAAGCACACGTTTGAACAACATACAACCATTTACCTTCACTGAATTCATTTAGCAACTCCTCCTTGGTCCAATTACACGAGGTTATTAGAAAAAAGCCTTTTGCTCTCAACACCCTGGAGAGAGACTTCACATACTGCTTCCTCTTCTCAGCTGCATTGTCAGGACTAAGGCTTATGGCATCAAAAGTCCCTTTGTCAATACAAATATGAAATCCAGACAGCTTTGTGGAAAGATTCAAAAAGTCTTCTACCTATATTAAAAATCAGTATCTATGTGAGAACAATTAACACACAATCTTTACAGAACTGAAATGACAACCTATAAGAGGTTATAGATAGGGGATATACTCATTATAATGACACTATATATAATAAACGTATTTTCAACGTTATAGCTAACTTATATGTGTTTTATTCCAAGATCATTAAAGCTAAGCTTAGTGAGAGAGAGTGGTAGTGTTTCCTGGACATTTCCAATCCCTGTAATCTTGGAAACAAGATCAGAGCCAGGCATGCTGCCTAACAGAACCAGGACATCAGGAAGTTCACAAGCTGGCTGTGAAAAGACCATTTCTGTCAAAAAGCAGTGATTTCAGCATATTCTTCAAAATGACAAGATATATCTGGACTCAAATAGGTCATGTGAAATGAGAGTTGTATGTTATATCACTATTTGCATGGACTAAAGTAAACACAGGAAATCAGAAGTTCCTTTGCCTGGACTCAACAGCTTACAATGTTACTAATGAATCTAGTGACTGCCTTAAAGCTTAAGAAATTAAATACCAATTTTAGATTTCCAATAACTTTGTGATACATAAGCATCAGAAACAGTGATTTGCCTCAGTTTTGTAACATAGTCATTCTGATTTGCCAATAAACTTAATTCTGAAAAAATTAAGCAATCAGCTCATGATTATTCATAAAATTTAATCTAAATAGTATATAATCTAAAAATCTTATCTGACTTTAAAATGTGACTTGTATGTTTATTTTCATTTGCAGATAGATTTCTCCTCCCTCCTTTTTATCTGAAGTATTCATTCTATTTGAAGCAAAATAATGACACTACTGCTCTGAAGAGCTGGCTCTGGAGAAGCTTCCTCCAAACACCTGTGTAATGGCACGCATTTATCCCACAAGTGCTGCTGGAGGACCTATCACGTGCAGGTACTTTCCAGGCACTGGGACTACAAGCCTGTAAGAGGCCCTCGGAGAAATGGACTGACACAGTGCCTGCAGCAATGGGCTCAAACATGGCAACAACTCTGTGAGGATGGCGCAGGACTGGGCAGCGCTTCGTTCTGTTGTACGCAGGGTCACTACGAGTCAGAACCAACTCAACACACTAACAACAAGAGTAAACAAAACGGAGAAAGCCCTCATTTGAGAATATGCCTTATACTCTGTAAGTGGAGAGACACACAGTAATAAGCTAAAGGAAAAATTTCAGATAAAGTGCTATAAAGAAAATAAAAATAAAACCAGAGTCATTAAGACAGAGTGACTGGGGAGAGAAATGTTTTGGAAGGTGGTCAGGAAATGCCTCTCTAAGAAGGTGGTATCTGACTAAGATCTTGATGATACGGACAGTGACCCAATCAAGCCAATACCTGGGGTCAGGCTACTTTAGGCAGAGGACACCAGGTTTAACAGCGATCAGAAAGGACAGTGTGACTGGACTATTGGGGAGAAAGAGATAACAAATGAAGAAGAATCTGCCAGGCTTGGGTGGGAGTACAGATTCTACTTCGAGTGCAATGGGTAAGCCACTGGAGAAGCATGAGCAGGGATGGGGGGATGGGACACAATCTGATTTTCATTTTAACGGATTGCTCTGGCTGCCCACTGATAAGTGGACTAGGGGCTGGGGGTGGGCGGGGGAGGGGTGCTGCAGAGTGGAAGCAGGGAGGCCAATCCAAAGGCTACTGTGGTAGTCCAGACCAGAGATGTTGGTGGCATGGTCATGGGAAGCAGCAGTGCAAATACCAAGGAATGATCACTTTCCTGATATGCTTTAAAGATAAAAACCAACAGAACTGAGCTCCTGTTAAGGATGAGAGAAAAATCTGGGAACGGTTAGGAGTGATGGTTGAGCAACACGATGGACATAATTAATGCCACTGAATCGTACACATGAAGATTTAAAACTGCAAATGTTTTGTTACACTTACATTTACCACAATTAAAAACCCAATAGAACTGGATATAGGATTTAAACAAAAGAGAAGAATCAAGGATGCTCGCTGAGTTTTGGAGAGTGAATGGCAGTGTCATTTACAGAAACAGGAAAGAGTAGAAGAAACCAGACTTGAGATGGAAATCAAGAGTTTCGCTTTGGACAGATTAAGTTGAGAGACTATGAGGTGGTGTCCCAGTGGAACTGTAGAAAAATAGCCCTGAGCTAGAAATAGAAGTCTGAGAGTCATCATCTCCTCACAGATATAAGGATACAGGAAGAAACTAAGTAATCTTTGGTAGTGTTATACACCACCCTGTGCTTTTACAACTTTTTATCCCTAGTTAGGTACTATCTGTGTGTGTGTACAAGCAATGAGGGGAAGAGTGAGAGAGAGAGAGAGAGAAGAGGAAGTAGAGAAGGAAAGGGGGAAAGGAGAAGAGGAGGAGGGAAGGAGGGAGGGAAAGAGAGAAGACAGGGGAGGGAGGAGGGAAGGATGAGGAGGGAGGGAGAGAAGACAGAGGGAGGGGGAAAAGAGGGAGGGAGAGAAGGAGAGCACACACCCACCAACAGAAGAGAAAGTAACTTCCCCCAAAACTGACCAGACTAAACATTCTAATACAGTTACTGAAAAATGTTTCAATTTGGATTACCTCTGACTTATCCTTAATTTACATGTGTTCAAAAGATGTCAACCAATTAATATACTTTAGGAACTATAACTTCTACTGAAAAATAATAGTAGTAGTAATAATTATAAAATAGTTACCTTCAACTTAATGTGAGAGAACCCTTCTTTTTCTATAATACTTCCAGAAAGCTGTATTGCAGAAGGAGAGTAATCGATTCCGGTAATATTAGAGAAACCACATTTTGCCTAAAGACAGAAAAATAACTTTATTCTTCAGTTTAAATAAATTTTTGATATAATTTTTGCCTACAAATTGTAATAGTCCTTTAGGGCTTGAGTTGTTTTATTTTTGTATTAAATCAACTGATATATACTACCCAATAATCTACAGCATTTAAATTTTATCACAGGCTCTTAATAGAAATCAAAAGTTTAAATTAATAAAATATGGCAATTCATTTGCTTTTATAATATTTGATTTTTTTTCAAAGGAAATTCATTTTCTCAAAGATTGTGAAAATACATGCACAAGCCCTCAGGCAGAAAATATCGCACAAAGTTCACACTCCAACTCACATAGAAACTTGTCGTGAATTTTACTGAATACAATTAAGTTACATGATTATATTATAGGCATATGTAGTAAATTCTTGATAAAATTTTTCCTTCAGTGTAAATATAAATTATGCAATTTTCCAACAGTTATGTGAACAGTACTTTTTGGGTTTTGAAACATTTCATACATTTCATTTGATCTTTACAAAAATCCTGTGAGGTAGGCTGGATAGGTACTAGTATCTCCAAAGAGTTACAGAAAGCTCTTTGAACTTAGGAGTTTTGAGATGACCCCTCTATCCTAGCTGTAGGAACACATTTAGGGTGTGTGGAATCATGGTAGCTTCTGGCCTTCATCCCTCCCCTGACCATGCTGATGCTTTTAGACCAATCAGGCCAAAAGTAACTTCAAAGGACACTGGAAGAACTGAAGAAGTTACAAATTATCATATATCTTAAAATGTTCTCTCTGTTCCTCACTATTTACTAAATGGTTACTTCTTTCAAAACTTAACCTAGTCCCACACTACCCATGAAGTTATTCAGAATTTCAACCCTAACTGACTGATTTCTAATCTAAACCCAAGTAATAACTGTATCAATGATTTTCCATAAGGTACTCTGCCCACTCGGAATATTTCCCTTTTTAATTTTCAGGTCTGATATCTACCTGTCTACTACTTAGTTATCCATCTATCCCAACCTCATCCATTAGAGAGCTGTCTTACCCCCTATTCTAGTAGATCTTCATTTTCTCCCAGTTTTCCCTCAATCCCTTCTCTATCAGACCTAGAAACCAGGATGATTCTCTTAATGGACTCTTACTAGTTCCCTCTTCTCCCATGCCTGTTTATTCTTTTATGCATTTTGTACAATATACAAAAACTTCTCTAGAACAATCATCAGAGCCTCAAACTATCTCTGACACACTCACATTCAATTTCAGGTCATCAGTAAAAAACAAGCAAGCACTCAGGAAAGCAGTAAGTGACCAAAAACGAAGGCAGGGAAAACTGGCATTAGAAACAGACCCACAGGAGATCCAGATAAAGGAATTATCAAGAACAGATTCTGAAATAACTGAAATAAAGGACAAGTTGGAGAATTCTGGCAGAGAACTGAAGACTGTAACAAAGAAGCAAATTAGTAACAGAACTGAAATAAGCAATACTTAAGAAAATTAAGGGACAAGTTTAATAGCAGATTAGACACAGCAAAGAAAAGAAAAGAAAAGAAAGAATCAGAGAGTTGGAGAAAAGGTCAAAAGAAAATGTCCTAGTTAACCACAAAGGACAAAAGGATGAAAACTTTAAAACAGGAAAGAGCATAAAAGACAGTATGATACAAAGTAAAAGATATACATATACTAAGAATCTGAGGAGGAGAGGGACAGAGAATAACACAGAAGAGAAAAGCTCATGGCAGAGAATTTTCCCATACAGGTCTTCCCCGCTCTCTGAAAGCACAGCATTCCTAATGGAACCTTTCATAAGCTGAAATGGTATGAGTAAGTAATTATCAATAGTTTACATGCAAAATGCTTCTAAGCATTCTCAGACACAAAAAATAACTTAACCAAATCATATCAAATAACTCATAACACCAAAAATAACATTACTATATAGTGTTCACAGACAAAGTTATGGCGGCTTAATGCTGTGAGGGTGAGGGTGGCTCCTGGGAACAGGGTTTAGAGACACCACTCTCACTGCTCAGGATGCACGCTGCCTCTGTAACAGTTCACTGTTGCATACACTGAACACTAATTTCACTTTTGCCTTTTTTTGTTTAGTAAAAGCAAAAATCCTCTTTGGATTTTCGTCAATTCGCAAAAACAGGTATTAATGTAAGGAGCTCTGGTGGCATAGTGTCTAAGGCATTTGACTGCTAACCAGAAGACTGGTGGTTCAAACCTAACGAGCAGCTCTATGGAAGGAAAATGAGGCAATCTACTTCTGTACAGATTTACTGCCTCCAAAACCCAAAGGGGGTCACTATGAGTCAGAATCAACTCAATGGCAGTAAGTTTGCTTTTTTGTTTTGTTTTTTGTAAAAGTGAAATGGCATGAAGCAAGCTTTCTAAAAGCGGGGGATACCTGTACTGACAAAGGGCCTACGCCACAGATGGAAGAAGCACCACATACGGCCACACGGAGGCACATCACAGAACATAAACACGTATCTAAATGAAACACAGAACAATCTCGAGAGCATCCAGGGCCTGGGAACGAGGGCATGCGCAGAGGATGTATTCCTTTCAAAAGATCAACAATAAGGCTAACAGCTCACAGTAAGTTATAAACAATGGAAAGCCAGAAGACAGTGAAAGAAAACAGTCAATCTAAAATTATATACCTAGCAAAATATTCATCAAAAACGAAGGTAATCAATGAAAATGTATATGTATACAAGCAATGATCATCAGTGGCTCCTAACGTCACAAAAAAGGCGGACAACCAAACATCATGTGTCCCATATGCAAACATAAAACTCCATCTACTAAATTTACTTGTCTAGAAACAAACAGGGGCTCTGGTGGCATAGTGCCTAAGGCATGCGACTGCTAACCAGAAGGCCAGTTGTTCAAACCCACCAGCCACTCCTCAGAAAGAAGGTTGGGCAATCTACGTCATAGAGATACTGCCTTAGAAACCCAAGGAGCGGTCGCTATGAGTCGGAGATAACTCGACGGCAATAGGTCAGGTTAGGTTAGAAACAAACAAAACGTGGGGGGAAGAGCTAATTCTGGTGATGGGAAGAGGAGCACTGACTGTGGATGCAGTGAGCAGCACAATAAAGTAATAATTAGTGTGTGAGCACACACAGGTGGGCAGAGGCAAAATGGCATATGGGTAGGTATAGATGCAGTACATAAGCGAAACAGACAGAAGCATCTATTTAAATACCCACTGCCATCAAGCAGATTCCAACTCATAGCAAACCCCATAGGGTTTCCAACGCTGTAAATCTTTACAGAAGTAGACTGCTTCATCTTCCTCCCATGGAGCAGCTGGTGGGTTTAAACCACTGACCTCCTGGTTAAGCCAAGTGTCTTACACACTACATCACCAGAGCTCCAGAAGTATCTATAGGTACATGCAAATAAGTATGTAGATGCAGGCACATATATTTATTGATGACACTGATAAGGATTCTTCAGACTTAACCAAACACCTTCCACAATTGGTTTTCTGGGTTTGAAGGTTTAGGACCATAGTTTCATGGGGCAACTTAGTTAAATGGAACAGTTCACAAATATCATGATCTGCATCATAGTGAAGTAAGTAGTGTCTGGGGTCTTAAAAGCTTGTAAGCAGCCATTTAAGACACAACTACAGGTCTCAATTCACCAAGACCAAAACAATAAGAAGGTCACCAAAAGAACAAAAAAACAAATCTACAAGAGCCACAAACTCATCTACCCTGAATCCAGAAGAACTAGTTTGGTGCTCAGCTACCAACACTGACCAGGGTCACAAGAGTTAGTCCTGGATGGAATGGAAGAAAAACATACAGCAGAATCCTAACTTTTATTAAAAAAGAAAGAAAATCCAGACAAACTGCAACAGTAGAGAACAGAGGACCCTCTGAGACTATTACCCTAAGAAATTCTTTAAACCTATCAGTGAGCCTATCCCAAACTCACCTTTTAGGGGAATAGTGTAAAAAATCAAAAAGTCCCTTGTCATCCAAGAAGTTCTCCAAATGGAAACAATTAGTTCTCACAACTGGTACACCATGCGATACACAGTCTGTACGACTATGAGACCAGAAGAAGGAGGTGGTCCCCGGCTACCACTGTCAACCACTTGGAGAGGGATCTATGTAGAAGATGCTGGATAGAGAGGGAGAACAATGTGGAACAAAACTCAAAATCATTTGGGGAAAAATAGGGAGGGGAACAGGTTTGCTGGTCCGATAAAGCCTGGTGGAACCACTGAGACTATGGCCCCTAGCTGCCCTTCAGGTCTGGAATTGAACCCACACC